AATTTAGTTAATCATCCCATTAAATTAAATTACCCCCTTTTTTTTGTGTGAATTTAATTTGTTTTTATTGTTTTTAATTTTGGGTGACAGTGCCTCCATTTTTAAGATATGGAAAGTATTGTGGACTCTTGTACAGTGGATGTCCAGGGGAGGAACCCTGTGATGGCCTTGATGCTTGTTGCATGACCCATGATGCCTGCGTTCAATCTAAGAACAGTAAGTTCATTTCTTAATCCTCCAAATTATTTTACAATTTTATTCTGCTCTTCTGGGATTGTTCTTCAATTTGTTCTGTTTTCTCCATGGGGTGGAAAAATTAAAGCAAAAAAATAAAATAAAATAAACAATGGTTGGTAAAGATGATTCGTTTCTTTCATCACAAGTGGTGTAATTCTTTGAGATGGGCCCCATTTACAGCTATGAAATGTACAATAATATCTAACCAGCAAACATGAATTTGAAGTAATAATTCTTCAGTTGAGGAAAGATCATGCACACTTTTGAAGCAAATTGATAAAATTAATTTGCACTCATTACCAAAAAAGAGAAGAAAAAAAAAACCCCAAAATCATCCCTTGTGTTAAATTTGATTCTTCACAAGATGTAAACTACAGACAGACAATTTGATGAGCTTTTGTATTGTCGGTGGTGTGGTACAGAGATGGGACTAGGAGCAGCCAAAACTTTCCAACTAAAACAAAACTAATCTTTTGGATGGTAGTAATATTTAATTAGGTGGTTGATAAAAAAAAATATTCTAAATTTTGTTTTGGGGTAAGCTGTCTCTGTACATGATCTAATACCAAAGGCAAGCCTCTGTCTTTTCTTTTTCTTAATTTCTTATATATTTTTTTGGTTTGGTTTTTATATACGAGATTAGAACCAGAAAATAAAAATTGGGGTGTTGTGGTTTGTGGTGCAGATGATTATCTAAGCTCAGAGTGCAGCCAAACGTTCCTAAATTGCATGGCCGAATTCAGAAACTCAAAAGGGAAAACGTTTCAAGGGAACACATGTCACGTTCAAGATGTTGTTGAAGTTATAACTCTTGTCATGGAAGCTGCGTTAGTTGCTGGAAGATATCTTCATAAGCCTTGACACAGAGAGAGATAGAGGGAGAGCTTGCAGCTCTTCTCTTTTCTTATTGTTTCTGAATTTTTTTTTTTTTTTTTTTTCATGTTCTTTCTTCTTGCATAGGTGGATAGCACACGCCCTTATGCCTTTACTTAAAATTTCCACAAAATTTCATTGCACAATTATCTCACCAAAACCAGCAAATTTTTCATTTCTTGTGTCTTTGCTTCAGGGGAGGGGGGAAAATGAAATGGGAAGAAGTGAAGATTGTAAATTTCATTTGATACTTCAATTTTGCAGATTTTCAAGTTGATATGTTATTTTATCCCTCTCCCTTTATCTATTGCAAACCCTGCATGCAATAAATTAAGCCCTATATTATTATTATTATTATTTATAAATGCATATATTGCGTGTAAATCAAGTGCTAGAATTGCAATTAAGATTAATACTCAAATCAACAATTAAGACTGAAACATGCAAGGGGCTTGTAGCTCAAGTGGTTAAGAGCATTTACCCCTGCATCTAAGGTCCTATGTTCGATTTCGCCCACCCCCAATATCACTTGCACAAATTAAAAATAAAAAATTAAGAAAAAGAGACCGAAACCTATTCAAACAGCACCCAACAAGTCTAGATGTACTGATAATATCCAGCACTTCCAAATTGTAAAGAACCCTCCATCTCAGTGCCATATGATGACAGCTCAGACTCAGAGAGCATCCAGGAGATCAATTTGTTCTTTCCCTATAAAGATGACCAGAAGTAAGAGTGCTTTCATGGAGAAACTAGCATTGGGGCTGTCCCATATGTCCCATGAATTTTTCACAATCTATCGAAATAGTCCCAGACCCAAAATAGCATTGGGAAGAAAATATTTGATTTGGGGGTTGTCTTGAGGTAAAAGGAGTAATTGATGCAAAGAATGGTGATAACAGTGGAAGAAATATACTGTAGAAGGAGAAGTAGATTTAAAAAAATTATTTGGCATTTGGTAGCTGAAGAAAGTTGAGGTTCCACCCCAAAATCATTTGGCAACGGGGGTAGTAGCTCAACTCCTTATAAACCCAAGCTTGGTCCCTTAACTTTTCAATGTGGGACAAATACTCTCAACACCTCCCTGCACATGTGACAAACTTTCAAACCTAACACGTGAACAACACATATTGGATGACGTGAGAGCACGTGTGGCTGTTGGGCCCAACACGTGAAGCCTTGCTCTGATACCATGAAGAAAGTTGAGGTTCCACCCCAAAATCATTTGGCAACGGGGGGAGTAGCTCAACTCCTTATAAACCCAAGCTTGGTCCCTTAACTTTTCAATGTGGGACAAATACTCTCAACACCTCCCTGCACATGTGACAAACTTTCAAACCTAACACGTGAACAACACATATTGGATGACGTGAGAGCACGTGTGGCTGTTGGGCCCAACACGTGAAGCCTTGCTCTGATACCATGAAGAAAGTTGAGGTTCCACCCCAAAACCAATTGGCAATGGTGGGAGTAGCCCAACTCCTTATAAACCCAGACTTGGTCCCTTAACTTTTCAATGTGGGGCAAATACTCTCAACAGTACCATTAAGCATTTTGCGGTGTAATTACTTTGCCTTGGCAAACAAGAACAACAACAAAAACTTTAATACTCAAATCAACAATAAGAATAAAAATATCTTCAAACACTAATCAATCTCTCCATGTATCGATAATAATTGAGCAGTACGAAATTGTAAGCCATTCGAATGATGTCAAATGCACAAGTAAATAGAATTTTTCTAATCGCAAACATTCTTCATCTTACAACCAAAACAAAAAAATACACAGCAACAGCATGGGAGAGAAATGCCATTGCCATCACACACAAGCCAAAGTCTCCATATAATGGTAAGCATCTCGCCATCCAACTTGCAATGATCTCTTACTCTCAGTGCCTTTGGAAGTTAACTCACAAGCTTTCTCAAAGCTCTTATCCCTCAGATTATAAGAGATGACCTTACAAGGAATATGCAACAGCAGAGATGAACCCTCTTTGTTTACTTCTCGAGCAAGAAAGAGAACAACAAATGCATAATACCAAGTTTCCTCCTTGCTAGGGTCATCAAGATTATGTTCTGGGACCATCTCGGGAAATGCCGCGGCTATTGGATCAAGATCAACGTGGTACTTGACAAACCAGCCAGAGTAGTCCCTCCCCATCTCCATCACGTCAAATTGAGTAACACAAGGCCTATAAATTTCGATGAGGTGCAAATGGCCGCGAGACTCTCCAAAATATCTATACTCCCTCTTGCGAAAAACATTGTAACTCGGAGGCCTAGACACCATTCCATGATTTTCTTCATCTATGTTATAATGTAACACCCTACTTGTACGGCTAATCCAATTGATTGCGCCATTGAAGTACACCCCGTGGCTAAAGTCTATATGGAATGGCCTAAGAAAGGTGGACTCACGAAGTGTCCAATTTCGAGTCTCAGACGAATAAATCTCTATCTGGAAAGATATAACAGATCCAGCAATGCACCGAATGCAGAGGACCTTGTAATGAAGCGATTTGGAAGGGTCAAAAGCCAAAGCAACCCCCAAAATGCTTGTGGATTTAGTAGCATATGGTGAATTAGTGATAGCTGAACATTTGTTGGTTGTGGGATTGAGAACAAAATAACGTCTGGGGGTACAACTTGTGTTTGTAATTTCTCGTAAGGAACAGCACAAGAGCAGGCCATTGCAGGATTGCAAAATCTTGATGCGCGGTGGGTGTTCGATGATCCTGGGAGGTTTCAAGAGGGATCCAGACTGGTTTTCATTGTTCGGAATTGATATGAAGTAGAAATCATGTATTGCCGTGTGAAAGAAGAAGGCCGAGACATTGGGGTACGGGTTTTTGGAGGTGTGGATGTCACAAAATTTAGGGTTGGAGATGAGAGCGAACCAGTTCTTGCAGACGCACTTGAAGCGAAGTAGAGAACGGGCTGGAATGCATAGAAGGACCGGTGTTAGGAGATCTTGGTTGCTGGCTATGGTTTCTGCTGGTGGGGAGATGTTGGGTGGTTTGAGACAGAGACTCTGCATTTTTTTTAATTTGCTTCAATGTGTGACAGAGAGATATAAGAGCAACTCCAACGTTCTCATGCCATTTAGGGATTATCAATGTCTAAATGGTAGAAATGCTAAAATTTCAAGTTTGTTAAACGTTCTCAAATGGTAATTTGCTATTTCTGTATGAATAAAAATATATATACATATTTGTTTCAAGTATGTGGATCCCTTTACCAATAAATCCGTTGTCTCATCTATGATTAGTTTTTTCACTTTTTTAGAAGGGAAGTTTGGATGTGAGCCCTCTTCAATGCCGTTGCAAAATTTGGAGGCAAATTTAGCATAAATTTCACCTGTCCAAATAAAGCCCATGTTGGATGCATACATTCAAAATTTCACGTATTTGGGCCATTCTACTTTGCAAGGCGGGGGGTCTTAAGTGATGATGTAATCACCGAACTCAGATTTATTTGGACCAACATGTTGGAAAATGATACGGGCACATATGTATATATATATATATATATATATAGCAATTTGGAAAATTTTGGAAAACAAATTTAATTCGTCTTCCTAAAATGGAAAATGAATTTTATTTCTTATAACAACTTTTTATTTGTTAAAGTGAGGAAGGGGAGGGGGAAAAACTCACACACACAGGTATCATGAAGCTTGAATCCAGGATAATTTGGGAGCACACCCAAGACCTGGATGTATCTTATTGTTTTGGCCCCTTGATATTAGATTGTTTTCTTTTATATTCTTAAGTAAGGGCATTTTTGGGGTTTAGAGAATTATATATAGCTCAGGGTTATTAAAACAGTTTACTTGTAATAAGGGCCTAATTGACATTTTTTTTGGAAAATACTTCCCTCTTTACCATGTAAATAGGAGCCTCTTATATTCCTACCAATATATGTGCTACATGTGTGCATAAACAAATACATTTGCCGCCATGTAAACCCATCCCCACGGAGTTTATACATGAGGATGATGAGATTGAAAGGACATATTGTGTAGCCAGTAAAAATCATCACCAATACCCACCACCAAAGCTGGCAAAACTGAGTCGCCATCACGAAGGTGAGTGAGCACTGTCAAGAACGGTTCATCTACAACACTCGATTAACGGAACGCATGCAGCAATGGATAGATTGGGGCGCACCATTGAGAACGGAACCCAAAACGAATCTTCCTCTTCATCGGCGTTCGAACCGAGTGGAGGGTCATGCTAGTCTTTGTGCGAACAACTCCGTTGGCAATAGAAAATCCATGGTCGTGTGTGTGTGGTTCCCGAAGTCAGTGACCTCCAATGGCGTAAGCCGAGGGAACGAGAAATCAACAACAGCAAAGACAAATGTCGACGGAAGCCACGGCATGAAAATGTGTCTGATAAATTAATTAGAAAACAAATTCAGAAAATAAAAATAATGAAAACATGTCTAGTAGTACAAATTGAGAATAATATTATGTGAGTTATTTTTAAGTGTATTTTTGCTAATTTCTGTTTTTTTTAAATGTATAAAAAATTGTATAATTTAACAAATAAAAAATTATATTGTTTTTTAAAAGCTAAAACTATCTTTATCTCCTTTCTTCTTCTTTTTTCTTTCCTTTTTTTTTTTTTCTCCTTTTTCTTTTTTTCTTCCTCTTTTCTTCTTCTTTCCTTCCCAAACCCATTCCTTTTTCTTTCCTTCTTCCTCTTCTCTCCCTTCTCTTTTCTTCTTCCTTCCCTCTTTTTCACTCTCACTCCCCCTTCCTTCCCTGGCATAAATCCCCATCAACCCACCAATCTGGTTCCACTAATTAATGGCTGTGGTGGTTAGATTGGGTGGTGATAGTGGTTGAGCTAGGTGTTGAGCTAGGTATGTGGTGATTGCTTTGGGTGGTGATAGTGGTTGAGCTAGGTATGTGGTGGTTGCTCTCTCTCTCTCTCTCTCTCTCTTTACCCCCTCCCTTCTCTTTTCTTCTTCCTTCCCTCTTTTTCACTCTCACTCCTTCCTTCCATGGCATAAATCCCCATCAACCCACCTCACCTCTCTCTTGTTCCACTAATTGTGGTGGTTAGATTGGGTGATGATAGTGGTTGAACTAGGCATGTGGTGGTTGGTTACTCTCTCTCTCTATGTTTTTTTCTTTTCTTTTCTTCTTCTTCTCTGTCTTTTTTTCCAGTTGCAATTCTGTGTGATTATGAGTTTTTTTTTCTTGAAATTTTGGGGCTGATTATGGTTGGAAGGAGGAGATTTGATTGTTTTGGATATAATTTGATTGGATTGTTTTCTCATTTCACAGAGAAGAGCTGGCTTTGATTCGGAGTGGCTTTGATTCGGAGAGACTGAAAACAAAAACAACTTTATGGCGTTTTCAACATTTGTTCATACTTTTGGATTCATTCTCATAAAACAATTTCAGCTTGTTTCTCAAAGTAACCCACTGAACACATTTTCACGTGAAAATAGAAAACAAAAACAGAAAATGGCCCTTGAAAATGATACCGAACAGGCCTAGGTCACTGAAGTGAACAATGTTTAGTGTGTTTTGGATCAATGTCACTTCATCTTGACAACCGACAGGCTTTTGAAATGTGTATTCGTAAACCACCGTATTAGATATCCCACGATGTTGCTTATATAACCACTGACCTAATTTGTGGCCAATTTTAAAACGACACGATATTCACGTTTCGACGTCTTTTAGGTGACGTGATTTTGCAATATTGGCATTATTGCAAAAGTACCATCATGAAATACAAAAAATATTCCTCCACTAAGGAGGGAACCCAAGGCACCGAAAGAATGTCCAGCTCTCCCATTTTTCTCTTCCTTTTCAGCCACCAACTGTTAACCATGCATGCAAATTCCATATATGCATTCATGTGCTTTGAAAGAGGAAAAATAACAGCCGCACATCTTTGAGTCCACTAAGGAGGCAATCCTTTCAGTCCACTAAGGAGGGAACCCCAACACTTTGAGTCGAGGTTACCAAAAGGAAAGAAAAAGAACCTTGAGTTGAAACTAGTTAAGGTTTGCCAACGGAGTCTAACCTAGTGAAAAATGGTCTTACATTGCACACCAATGGTCTCAGGTTCAAACTCCCATAGCACATTGGCAAGTGTGTGTGAGGAAACCCCCTCCCGATTCCTAACTTTGGCAATAAAATAAAATGAAAAACTAGTTAAGGTTTCCCATCTTACCTAGCAGATAAATGACAGTTTTCTTCTGCACTAGGTAACATTATTGTTAACCAATAATGCTGTTAGAACAACAACAATTTGTAATCACGTGTGTTGGGGAGAACCATGGAGAGATTTGCGATATTGTGATGTATTGTGAAAGGATCGAGCTTGACAATCGTAATTTGATATAGGTTAAACTCAACTCCTACAAAGTTAGAATCAATATATATTTATTTTTTTCCCAATGATAATCAAATTTTCTTAAAAGATGAAATTTTTTTTACATATTTCTCATTCTCAATATTCTATTCTCTCTTCCTTCTCCCCATGATTCTTCTCGTGTTTCAACAATAATCAAACATAAATTCTGTAAGGTTTTACAATGTCATTTCTAGGACAAACAAGGTGAAACAAATTCTTACAAAAGTTCTATTAACCTACAAGTCGATTAAGTTCAATTACCTATAGGAAGAAGCAATTTAAAGTTGCAGTACGAAAATTGCCAATTACCATTCTTGTATATGACATGTATCACTTATATTTTCATTAAAAGCATCACAATACCCATAACAAATTGGTCTCAATTTTAAAAAGTACCAATATAGACCTTAATTTAGTTTAACACAATTGAAGAAAAAGTGTAAACAAAATAAAGAAAGAAAGTTGCAATGAAGTCTAGGATTGAGAAAACAAGGTGAGAGGCAGTACCTCTGCTTAAATGTATCCAAGTTCTTAGTGAGGAGCAACAGAAATGAAAAAACATAGAAATGGATGTAATTGCTTTCTGAAATAAACATAAAGAGAGCCCATTAATGAATGAGTAGAAGAAAAAAATGAATGTAATTGCTTCTGATAAGGGTTACCTCCTCCTTAAATTGCATCCCATATCTGCAGAGGAACTCCATTCTTTTTCTCATGGAGCCTTTTAAATATGTAGCATCCCTCTCTGCTTTCTAAGGAAATGAAACCAGTTTGGATGGACTACATTCAACAAAACAGAAAGAATTAAGGCTAAAACCAAACTCCCAGCTCAAATGAAAATTAGACCAAGACCAAAACAGAGAGAAATTAGGCTTAAAGGTCCAGAAGCAAGTTTTATTGAAGTGTAGGCATATGCAGCTCACCTCACAAGCTTCCCTAAGAAACACCTCCTTGTGGCTGTATAGAATCAAATCCATTAGGCGAGTGACCTGCAATTAGTTTTAAAGTCATCAACTTTCCATTCCAAACTCATAAACCAACCATAACCTCACATAGTTAATACAAAAACGATAAAATAAAAACTTCAAATTTCATGAGTAAAAAACAGCAACACTAAAGGAGAGCACATCAGATAAAATTCCACAATCTCCTTCTCCCTCCCTCTTTGCTAAGTTATTATCCCAGGCACATCAACCCATGACACCCCAGCTCCAAATGCTCTATGTTTCTTCAATTTGTTTACTGAAATTAGCCTGCAAACAAATTAAAAAATGCTTTATATCAGTAGCATATGCAGTGTTGGGTTCGGTTTATTAATGTGCAGTAGATATGAAGTTCAGTAGCATCCCTTATTGCAGAAGAATGGAGGAGGCTTGCAATTTTAGTTCAAACATCTTTAACTTTAAACGTTAAAATAAATTGATATAGAATTCAGTAGCGGATAAGTACCAGCAATTGTAGCACCATCCCATATCCTTGTAGAATGTTACCAATTGTAGCAACAATGGCAACCATCACAGCTCCCCTCATATATTTTCACCAATGAATGAGACCCACAATGTCAAATAAACCTGAAAGGAAAAAGTACTCACATATCATAAAACTAATAAATCATTTCCACCTTAGAAACCATTGTCACACCCCAAAACTCATGTGTAACATCAAGGAAAAAAAAGGATTCTTGCATACAAACAACAGAAAATAAAACTTTCTTAAAACTTTGAAACTTTGCTGCTAGTTCCGAAATAAACATTGAGACTGAACAAGGAATCTCCACTTCTCTATGTTCTCAAATTGCCAGCACATGTCACCAAGACAAAATCAGCCAAAGAAACAGAAAAGACAGCTCCATGCAGCAAGCTTGCAAGCAATATCCATCAGTTTCTTATCGCTGGAAATTCTTGTGACTTAGCAAGAAAAACCATCAAACCATATAGCACCAGGCTTAGCATCTCTAGATTACTGCACATGCATATCATGATTAATACAATAGCAACTGTGAACCAAGGACGCAAGCTAATATAAATTAAGTAGCATATGCAAGGAGCTCTACCAAGATAGTAAAGAGCAAGTGTGAATTGCAAAGAAACAAACACAATGGAATATGAATCTCACCTTAGCATCTCAGCAAAGCTCATGGCTTCATCAATTCTTGGAATGGCATTTGCTAGCTCAGAGAACAAATTGTCCATTCCATATGTTCACATGTCTTCATGCGCAACTGTGGGATCCACTTCCTATGGAGGATCATAACCAAATAATGAGACTGCACATAATCAAATTCACACACACACACACACACACACACACACACACACACATGCAAGCATATAGAAAATTTTCATAATAAATACAAATATCAAACATGGATAAAGAAGAAAAGATTCAGCAAAGGCATTAGAGAAACTAACACAATTTCAGCTACTGTGTATTAAACTTTGAACTCAGAATTAAACACCCTAATCTCAATAAAAATTTACCAATTTACATGCATCCAGAAGCTGATTAAATACACTTTGAAACCATATAAAATTTGACAGAAACGGAGCTATAAGGCAGTCCAAAGTAAGTGTTTCAAAACTGAAACTGCAGCCCCTGTTTTTGACAGATTTTGTAGTCATACTTACCAAACTCAGGTATCAAACTTAGCCAAATTACATGCTATTAGAGGGCTTTTAATCCTGGATATGTATAGTTTAAAACTAAGTACTTATATCTCAAAACTAACGCACTGTAAGATCCAACCCCTATTAGCACAAACCATCTCTATATTTCCCCAAAATATGCCAAGAAAGAGAGCTAGTGAACCAAAAATCAGAATGGTCTGTTCTGTGAAATTCTTCCACAAATTATCCATTATTCGCTCAAGAAAGAATTTAACGGCCAGATGCATCCGCCAAGAACAAAAATCCTTTAATGCCATTTTGTAAATCATTTTCACATGGTTATTGATGACCCCAACTCAAATGCAACTGGACCAAAGACATGGGAAATAAAATAGTGATTGTTAATCCACTTTTTGGAATCAGGTTCGTAGGATACTGACCTACTGTGAGTTCCCAAAAGCTACAGTTGACAGCGTCAGTAGCTAAGATGAACAAAGTAGGATATGTGGGCACTTCATAAAACATGTGTGAATCGACATTAGGCCAAAGCTCAAGTTGAGGAAATCCGCCGCTTCTAGTGGTTTGTCACCATCAATGTCAGCCTTCGTCTCATCTGCAATATAAAAATAGTCAAAATGATTTGCCGCTATGTAAACCCATCCCCACGGAGCAACAATGCGAGGAAAATACATTTGTACATGAGGATGACGAGATTGAAACGACGTATTAAGCAGCCAGTAAAAATCATCACCGCTACCCACCACCAAAGCCGGCAAAACTGAGTCGCCATCACGAAGGTGAGTGAGCGCCGTCATGAACGGGTCATCCACGACACTCGATTAACGGAACGCGTGCAGCAATGGATAGATTGGGGCGCTCCGCTGAGAACGGAACCCAGAACGAATCTTCGTCTTCATCAGCGTTCGAACCGAGTGGAGGGTCATGCTAGTCTTTGTGCGAACAACTCCGTTGGCGGTGGAAAATCCACAGCCGTGCGTGTGTGTTTGCCGAAGCCAGTGACCTCCAATGTCATAAGCCCAGGGAACGAGAAATCGACGGCAGCGAACGCGAATGTCGACTGAAGCCACGGCAAGACAACTCATCTCTCTCTGGCTCCACTAATTAATGATAGTGGTGGTTAGATTGGGTGGTGATAGTGGTTGAGCTGGATATGTGGTGGTTGGTTTCTCTCATCTCTCTCTCTCTCTCTCTCTCTCTCTCTCTCTTCCCTTTCTCTTCTTCTCCCTCTTTCTGATTCTTTCCCTTATTCTTCTCCCTCTCTCTAATTCTTCCTCTTCTTTTTCCTCTCTCTGTATTTTTTTCTTTTCTTCTTCCTTTGTCTTTTTTTCTCAGTTGCAAATTTGTGTGATTATGAGTTTGTTTTCTTGAATTTTGGGGCTGATTATGGTTGGAATGAGGAGATTTGATTTTTTTGGATATAATTTGATTGGATTGTTTGCTCATTTCATGGAGAAGAGTTGGCTTTGATTCTGAGAGACTGAAAACGAAAAAGACTTTTTGGCGTTTTCAACATTTGTTCATACTTTTGGATTCATTCTCAGAAAACAATTTCAGCTTGATTCTCAAAATAACCCATTGAACACATTTTCAAGTGAAAACAGAAAATGGCCCTTGAAAATGATACCAAACGGGCCTAGGTCACTTAAGTGAATAATGTTTAGCGTGTTTTGGATTGACGTCGCTTCGTCTTGACAACTGATGTGCTTTTGAAATGTGTTTTCGTAAACTACCGTATTAGATATCCTACGACGTAGCTTGTATAACCGTTGACGTGATATGTAGCCAATTTTAAAAGAAAGACACGCTATTCACGTTTGGACGTTTTTTTTTTGATAAAAAAATGGTGGCAAAGTGTTCAACCACTCCGAACTGGGGAGGGGTTAAGGTTAAAGCTCTCCCCATGAGGTTCTTTACACATGCGGAGCATCGAACGCAGGACCTCACTGAGGAGCCTGCTAACATTCGGCCAAACATGGTGGACCTAGCCCCAACCACTAGACCAAACCCACATGGGTCACGTTTGGACGTTTTTAGGTAACGTGATTTTGCAATATTGGCATCATTGCAAAAGTACCATGATGACATACAAAAAATATTCCTCCACTAAGAGGGAACCCAAGGCACCGAAAGCCTGTGCAGCTCTCCCATTTTTCTCTTCCTTTTCAGCCCCCAACTGTTAACCATGCATGCATATATCCCATACATGCATTCATGTGCTTTTTTTTTCTTTTTTTTTTTTGGTCTGAGCATTCATGTGCTTTGAAAGAGGAAACATAACAGCCGCACATATCTTGAGTCCACTAAGAGCATCTCCACCCATGTAGGCTAAGGCAAGGCTAAGGCAAGACAAGGGCTGGTACTATTTATGTGAATAGTGCCAGCTTTGCCTTAGTTGGTTCCACCTTTGGAAGGCTTGCCCGGGCAAATACTATTCATTGTACTTTATTTTCTATTTTTTTTATACTTACCATTAATTTTGATAAGTTTTTCAGATAATATTTTCGGTTGCCACGTGTCACTATTTATTATAAAATTATCACCTCAAATTTCAGATAACATTTTCGGATAAGATATTTGGTTGCCACGTGTCCATGTCAGATAAGATTTTAAGATTTTTTAAAAAAAATTTATAATCTCATATTTCAAATGAGATTTTCACCCTATAAAATTACACCACGTGTCCTATGTCAGATAAGATTTTCAGATTTTAAAAAAAAATTATAATCTCAGATTTCAGATAAGATTTTCACCATCTAAAATTGCGCCACGTGTCATCTCTATCTTCTCAATCCCTCTATAAAACTACACCATCAACTCATACATCTCACACCACATCTTATCTATTCTTTCAATTCTCAGATTTTACAAAACATATTTTACTCTCAATGTCAAACTTGAGAAGGGTGTTGGAGAGGCAAGAGAGAGAAGAGGAAGAAATCCGGAGGAGACGTGCTGAGGAAGATCGGGAGGCCGATGAAGAAGAGGAGGAAATGCTTGTAGCCTTTGCTATGCTTAATGAATCAAGGCAACACCACCGTCGTCGTGCCCAGAATGTGGATAGACGTAGGCAGTCTCGTGGTAAGAATCTCATGGAAGATTACTTTATCCCAAATTCCTTATATCCTGTTTCTAAGTTTTGAGAGAGATATAGAATGCAGCCACATTTATTCCAAAAAATCATGCATGATATTTGTAATTCAGAAGTATGATGCTTATGGAGTTTTGGGTCTTCTCCCAGAGCAAAAACTTACAGCTGCTTTGCGGATACTTGCTTATGGGGCATCTGCAGAGCAGGTGGATGCGATTGCAAGGATGGGAAAATCAACTATCCTAGAATGCTTGGTGAGATTTTGTGATGCAGTAGAAAATCTCTACACGAGGGAGTACCTTCGCAGACCTTCTCCTGCGGACCTACAAAGGCTTCTAAAAAAAGCTGATACTCGAGGTTTCCCAGGAATGATTGGAAGTATCGATTGCATGCACTGGCAGTGGAAGAATTGCCCAACT